AACATGCTACAATTTTTAAAGTCCTAAAGGTTTTTTTTGTTTGTTTGTTTTTTGTTTTGTTTACTGACAGTTTTCTCATTAATTACTCAAAGAATAAATGCAATTATTAATGTTTTCTCAAGGCCCAAGTTCATCTGTGGTGTAATTTCTGAAGTTTTTTTTTTTTAAATAACCTTTATTCCTTTAGAATGAGACATGATTGGTATAATGAAGAAAAAAAATTTTTTTTTAATAGTGCTTCTTCGGGCGGAGGAGGAAGTAGGGGTGCACCTCAGCACTATCCCAAGACTGCTGGCAACAGGTATGGTAAACATGTAAAAACATCAACTTAATAGTAGATTAACTCTTGGTCATCCCTTAAATAGATCATCTAATGTGAGTTGGGACTCTGAAACTGCTTATTCTTGGGTTATTTTTAATGATGTTATTTTTTGAAATCAGTTATTATTCATGCAAGGTGTTTAATATCAAATAAGAACACGACATATAAGTGTTCTCAAGGTGTGGCTCCTGGACCACCTGCATTAACATCATCTGAGAATATATACTGGAAATGAAAATTATTAGGCACTACCCCAAACCTGCTAAAGCAAAACTGGAGTGGGCCCAGCAATCTGTTTTATGAAGCCCTGTGAATGATTCTGATATACCATACTATTTGAGAATCAATGATATCCAGAGTTACTTTGTTGTGGGGCAAGTAGAGAAAGCATAGCATAGATTTTTCTGTTTGGTAGAGTTTCTGATCAGTGTGACATTTGGTGTGTAACTGGCTGCTGTTTCACATTTTCTTGATTTATGAGTCTCTTTTTTGACGTTAATCAGCGAGTTCCTGGGGAAAACCCCAGGGCAAAACGCTCAGAAATGGATTCCTGCACGAAGCACTAGACGAGATGACAACTCCGCAGCAAACAACTCCGCAAATGAAAAAGAACGACATGATGCAATCTTCAGGAAAGTAAGAGGGTAAGTTTTAAAATCTGCTTTCACAAGAAGGAAGAAGTATAGATTAGCTGTATTTATATACTATATATGTTATACTATTCGTAAGGTAATGTTCATGCCCAGAGAGCATGTTTTTTTCTAAATGTTTATTTTTTTAGTTGTAGTTGGACACAGTACCTTTATTTTATTTATTTTTATGTGGTGTTGAGGATTGAACCCAGGGCCTCGTACGTGCTAGGTGAGCTCTCTACCACTGAGCCACAACCCCAGCCCAAGAATATATTTTAGTGAATGTTAATGTTCACAGTATCCCAAATAGTCTTAAACTGAAGAGAATCACATCAGTATTTGTACTGCTGGTTCTAGTCAGTTGGTTATACCCATAAGCCTGTTGTCCTGGCATTTCCATCTTGGCTTAGTGTGTAACCCCATTATACTAGGGAGTATAACTATCACAGCTAATGGTCTCTGCTTAGTCCCTGATAATGAGGCCTTTGTGCTCTTAGTTTTGAAAAAGGTTTGTTGTCAGACAGCTGGGAACCCCCAATTTGACAGATATTATAGTCTAAACAACAGTGACAAGGAAGAACCTTTATTCTGTTTGCTGATATTTCAAATGTGATTCTTTTTTCCCCAGCATACTCAATAAGCTTACTCCTGAAAAGTTTGACAAGCTATGCCTTGAGCTCCTCAATGTGGGTGTAGAGTCTAAACTCATCCTTAAAGGGGTCATACTGCTGGTGAGTTTTAAACGTTGGAAACTTGGGAAGACAAAAATATTAACCCTAGATTGTTTTTTTGTTTTTTGCCTTTAATCATATCTTAACCCTGAGGTCTGAGTTAGATGGACATGTGTTTCTGAATGCTGATAGTAATAAAAACAGAACGATTAGCTTTGTCATAAGATATAAGAGTGAAGTTTAAATTGTTTATACTGTGTTCAAAGGGCTATCAGCAAGCTATTTGTTTTCCTTTTGTAGAAATGAATTGTATGATAGCAAAAGATTTTTAGTGCCTTTTTCCACACACACACACACACCCCAGTACCACCGCCACCCCTTTGAACCTCTGGCCTCTTATGTGCTAGGCAAGTGCTCTACCACTGAGCTACATCCCCAGCCTTCCAGTGTCTTTTCCAACTTGGTGGTAGGGGAAGAAATGAGAATACATGAGGTCTTTTTTAACAATAAAAGAAGCAAAGAGAAATAATCTGTCATGAGATTTAAGACTACCCCAAAAAAATGGTCATAAAAGGACTTGTTTGAAAAGCTGCCAGTTGATTTATTTTTATAAATGACTTCCTCTGTAGATTGTGGACAAAGCCCTAGAAGAGCCAAAGTATAGCTCACTGTATGCTCAGCTATGTCTGCGATTGGCAGAAGATGCACCAAACTTTGATGGCCCAGCAGCAGAGGGTCAGCCGGGACAGAAGCAAAGCACAGTATGTGGTGACTTTTATTTGCTTATTTTAAAATTGATTTGAAAGATGTCGTTAATAAAGCCTGTGCCTTTTATTTTATTTTCAGACATTCAGACGCCTCCTAATTTCCAAATTACAAGATGAATTTGAAAACCGAACCAGAAATGTTGATGGTAAGAATTTGTTTATATTTGAGGGCTGGGATGTAGCTCAATGTAGAGTGCTTCTTTAGCATAAGCAAGGACCTGTGTTTGATTCCCTGCACCACACCAAAAAATTATATTTGATACTAATTACGTACAGTATATTTTCGACCTAATTCTAAGTGTTGGCTTTATTCTTTTCCCCCTTCAGTCTATGATAAGCGTGAAAATCCCCTCCTCCCTGAGGAGGAGGAACAGAGAGCCATTGCTAAGATCAAGATGTTGGGGAACATCAAATTCATTGGAGAACTTGGCAAGCTTGATCTTATTCATGAATCTATCCTTCATAAGTGCATCAAAACAGTAAGTATTACTGGGAATTTACACTTAAGTTAAGATAATCAATGAGAGCATCTTTGGGAGGAATTGAGTCAATTACAATTGTTTTGTGCCATCTTAGAAAGTAGATTCAGTGGGGCTGGGGCTCAGCAGTGGAACACTCGCCTAGCACGTGTGAGGCCCTGGGTTTGATTTTTCAGCCCCACTTAAAAAAAGATGTTGTGTCCAACTACAACTAAAAAACAAGTTAGTGGATGGTTAGTGAAATATTTAGATGGCCAACAAAACTAAATGCTGTAGAACAATATTTAATATGAAAATATGCCGTGTGTTTTATAAAGTAAATGTTGAAGGGATTGTCTTGAAACAAATCAATAAAACTATACTAGATGCTGTAGGAACTATGAATGGATCAGTGCAAAGCAAAATACTACATAACCCAGAATAACTAAAATTTTGTCAACACTGGCCTTTCATTCTTTTGGTAGCTTTTGGAAAAGAAGAAGAGAGTCCAACTCAAAGATATGGGAGAGGATTTGGAGTGCCTCTGTCAGATAATGAGGACAGTGGGACCTAGATTAGACCATGAACGAGCTAAGGTGTGTATGTTGCTGATGAAAGCAGTATATGTACTTTATTTTTTGACATTAAAGGGGGTTGCCATGGTCATTTACCTTGGTGATAGTTTAGGAGTCTTAAAAGCCTAAGACAGTACACATTTATTTTAGATCTTTCAATTATGTATTTTTCTCTTTTATCAGTCCTTAATGGATCAGTACTTTGCCCGAATGTGCTCCTTGATGTTAAGTAAGGAATTGCCAGCGAGGATTCGTTTCCTGCTGCAGGTAAAACTGGTTTGTTTGAATACGTTGGTAAAGCTGAGTTTTTCTGTTCAGGAATATAAAAATGAAATTTACACTTTTAAATTACAGGATACCGTAGAGTTGCGAGAACACCATTGGGTTCCTCGCAAGGCTTTTCTTGACAATGGACCAAAGACGATCAATCAAATCCGTCAAGATGCAGTAAAAGTAAGATATGTGTGTATTTAATCAAATAGACTTGAAGTATTTTTATAGTAGCACAGGGACACAAACCCTCCCCATCTATTTGAGATTGTCAGTGGGAAGTTCTTACAGAAACATAGCAGTCTAACATTCTGTAGGTTTTTCTGTTTTCCCCAATATTAATTTTAGTTTTCAGTAAAATAGTGTTCAAAAATGAAAGTACTTATTCACCTCATTTTCAAAGGATCTAGGAGTGTTTATCCCTGCTCCTATGGCTCAAGGGATGAGAAATGACTTCTTTCTGGAGGCACCGTTCATGCCACCCAGGATGAAAATGGATAGGGACCCACTTGGAGGGCTTGCTGATATGTTTGGACAAATGCCAGGTAATTTTTGAACAGAACAGAAGTTTGGTTAAACTAAGAAATTAGTCTAAATTTTTTAATAGTAGAGTTTTAAGAGTTGCTCATGTATGTATTTTAAGGTAGTGGAATTGGAACTGGTCCAGGAGTTATTCAGGATAGATTTTCACCCACCATGGGACGTCATCGTTCAAATCAACTCTTCAATGGCCATGGGGGACACATCATGCCTCCCACACAATCACAGTTTGGAGAGATGGGAGGCAAGTTTATGAAAAGCCAGGTAAGAAGGCATTAGGAAACAAGTGTTAATATTGCAATGTCAATTTATTTTGCTTCTTTATATAAAGATACAGCTATTTTAGGTGTCCTTTCTAAACTAAATTTACATCCTTGGCAGTTATTTCAAATTGAGTGAAATACTTATTAAGATTAGTAAAGTCACATTACTTTGATCGTTAGGCTAGATTTTATTCTTCCCTGTTTCATCTTTTACTTTCTCTGGGCAAATTCAATTAAGCTTTCCCTATGGCTTGGCTCATCCCTTTGGTACTTGATTACCATAATTTGTGGACCCCCTTTTTATCTAGACTTTCTTTCTCCCTTTCTGAAAATAGGGGCTAAGCCAGCTCTACCATAACCAGAGTCAGGGACTCTTATCCCAGCTGCAAGGACAGTCGAAGGATATGCCACCTCGGTTTTCTAAGAAAGGACAGCTTAATGCAGATGAGGTACATTTGCCTATGTTACTTATATATGGTAGTTTGTCAATTCAGAAAATCTATTGCCCGATGATTATAAAAAGACGCGTTATTAAGAGGACTTATGCTGGAGTTCTTTTCTTTTTTTCTCTCTTTTTCTGTCTTTCTTTTTCTTTCTTTGAATGTCCAGCGTCCTGTGAGCGAAGATTATGAGATATGAGGGCAAGACTTTATTAGTTAGGGTGAGGAAAATGGTTGTCAGTATGTTGTTCCTGGTTTCCTTGTAAGTAGAGTGATTTAGCAAGATGTTTTCTGAACTTCATTTAATTTACTGGGTTTTTATTTTAATAATGCTAATCCTAGGAGAATTCCAATGGAAATGTAAGGTTTATGACAATATCTTATTCTTCCGTGGATCAGGTCTTCAATTTTCTTGCCAGAAATTAAATATATTACGTTAATATTGAAAAACTTTTTTTTAGTTTGTTTTTAAGAAACATTTCTGCCCTAGATTATATCATGTCTGTAGAATTAATTTTAGGATATCAGAGTGTTAAATTTAACGTTAGCCAACTATATGTATTAACTTGGATGTCTGGTATGGTTTGTTTTTAATTCCAGATTAGCTTGAGGCCTGCTCAGTCGTTCTTAATGAATAAAAATCAAGTGCCAAAGCTTCAGCCCCAGATAACCATGATTCCTCCTAGTGCACAACCACCACGCACTCAAACACCACCTCTGGGACAGGTATAGGCCCCATAGTATGACATCATTCTTCCTTTTTAACTTCATGTTTTCTTCCACTAATGTCACATGTTCCTTTTATCTGTCATGTTGCTTATCTTTTAGACACCTCAGCTTGGTCTCAAAACTAATCCACCACTTATCCAGGAAAAGCCTGCCAAGACTAGCAAAAAGCCACCACCGTCAAAGGAAGAACTACTTAAACTAACTGTAAGCATCCAGTGGTTCTATAAATAATCTTTAGTTCTTGGGGTATATTTGGAATAGAGAAAACAAATAGTAATTGGATTGTATTCTTTTTAGGAAACTGTTGTAACAGAGTATTTGAACAGTGGAAATGCAAATGAGGCTGTTAATGGTGTAAGAGAAATGAGAGCTCCTAAACACTTTCTTCCTGAGATGTTAAGCAAAGTAATAATCCTGTCACTGGATAGAAGTGATGAAGATAAAGAAAAAGCAAGTTCTTTGATCAGTTTACTCAAACAGGAAGGGATAGCCACAAGTGACAACTTCATGCAGGTAGAATACTTCTCCTGATTGTGTAATAAGAATTCTCCACTCATTGAAAACTTTAACAAACTGACTGTTGTGTGTTCCTTCTAAGGCTTTTCTGAACGTATTGGACCAGTGCCCCAAACTGGAGGTTGACATCCCCTTGGTGAAATCATATTTAGCACAGTTTGCAGCTCGTGCCATCATTTCAGAGCTGGTGAGCATTTCAGAACTAGCTCAACCACTGGAGAGTGGCACCCATTTCCCACTCTTCTTACTTTGTCTTCAGCAATTAGCTAAATTACAAGATCGAGAATGGTTAACAGAACTTTTTCAACAAAGCAAGGTCAATATGCAGAAAATGCTCCCAGGTAAGAGAATGCTGGTTTGTTAACAATAAACCTAGAGGTTCTTGGTAACTTGAGTGGATTTATGTGGATCAGACAACTTTACCTTTCCAAGTAATAATAAACGTTGCCCTGGATACATCTTAAGATCTTATTTTAAAAGGGGATTATCATATCTTTTTACTTGATCCATGTATTAAGAGTTCATTTTGCGGTTGTGGGGTTGTAGCTCAGTGGTAGAGCACTTTCTAAACAGGCCAGTAAAGTGAACTGCTACTCAATGATGCAAATGATTTTATCTCTTCAGAAATTGATCAGAATAAGGACCGCATGTTGGAGATTTTGGAAGGAAAGGGACTGAGTTTCTTATTTCCACTTCTCAAATTGGAGAAGGAACTTTTGAAGCAAATAAAGTTGGATCCATCCCCTCAAACCATATATAAATGGATTAAAGATAACATCTCTCCCAAACTTCATGTAGATAAAGGATTTGTGAACATCTTAATGACTAGGTAAGATGAGTGGCCTTCTATAAACAGTAAAATCCATGTTTTATTTGCTAGAGAATAAGTCTGCAAGGCAGGGAGCTAAAAGTTGTCTGTTTCTTGAGCCAGATAACTCACTTTGGTTCTAAAAAGGCTTCTTTTTGTCCAGCTTCTTACAGTATATTTCTAGTGAAGTAAGCCCACCTAGCGACGAAACAGATTCTTCCTCTGCTCCTTCCAAAGAACAGTTAGAGCAGGAAAAACAACTGCTTCTTTCTTTCAAGCCAGTGATGCAGAAATTCCTTCATGATCATGTGGATCTACAGGTCAGTGCCCTGTATGCTTTGCAGGTGCACTGCTACAACAGCAATTTCCCAAAAGGTGAGATGACAGGTGTTAAAAAGGAATTAGGAGTTCAGGGACAGTGCATGATGAGATGGCCCACTAAGTGGAGATTTTGGTTGTTTTTTTTTTTTTTTAGGCATGTTACTCCGCTTCTTTGTTCACTTCTATGACATGGAAATTATTGAAGAAGAAGCTTTCCTGGCTTGGAAAGAAGATATAACCCAAGAGTTTCCAGGAAAAGGCAAGGCTTTGTTCCAGGTAAATTTTTTAATCTGGTTTGGGGTTTCTTGGTTTTTGTTTTTCCAGTTTCGTTGGTAGTATTTCAATGAGTAGTGTGCTTCCCTCCTTTTCACTCTTGTAGCCACACAAAAATACCTGTATTTTTATTTGTGTTTATGTGATGCCAAGAATTGAACCCAGTGCCTCACATGTGCAAGGCAAATGCTCTACTAGCTGAGCTACAACCCCAGCCCCCAGTAGTTCTTTTTTAAACTAAAATACAGGCAAAAGATAGTCCTGAAAGTTTCTTAATCCATACATATAATTTTGTACTGTTCAAAGCTATTAAAAGTGGACAGTTAGCAGCATGAAGTAAAGCTAGGAGGTGAAATTATGCTTAAATCCTAGTGGTTTATGTTTATAATGTGTTTATAAGTGTTTAATACAGTTTTGTATTAAAAGTACTTAAACAATTTTGGTGATTGGAAGTTTATTTTTTAATTATTCTGTCTGTAAGTAAAGAATTTAGTATCAAGGTTCTGGTTTAGTAGTTTTCCAAGGGACCAGGCTTTGGGAAACTGTTGTACAGCGTCTTACCTTACTCCTAAGGGTTACAGAGTAGCCTCCCAGGGATCATCTTGAGACTAAAAAGATTTCCTGAAATGTAAGTGGACAAATGTCATACTAACCTTGAATTAAAACTTAAGGCTGATTTACACAGTACATTTGCAACTGTTCGCAGTAATCAAAATGTGGTTTAAGACTTTTGCCCTTGGGTAAATGTTTGGTTTGGGTTATGTCTTGAACCTGCTGTTGAATAATAATTACAAATCTGATTTACAGGTGAATCAGTGGCTAACCTGGCTAGAAACTGCTGAAGAAGAAGAATCAGAGGAAGAAGCTGACTAAAGAACCAGCCAAAGCCTTAAATTGTGCAAAACATACTGTTGCTATGATGTAACTGCATTTGACCTAACCACTGCGAAATTCATTCCGCTGTAATGTTTTCACGATATTTAAAGCAGAAGCACGTCAGTTAGGATTTCCTTCTGCATAAGGTTTTTTTGTAGTGTAATGTCTTAATCATAGTCTGCCATCAAATATTTTAGGAGTATCTTTAATGTTTAGATAGTATATTAGCAGCATGCAATAATTACATCATAAGTTCTCAAGCAGAGGCAGTCTATTGCAAGGACCTTCTTTGCTGCCAGTTATCATAGGCTGTTTTAAGTTAGAAAACTGAATAGCAACACTGAATACTGTAGAAATGCACTTTGCTCAGTAATACTTGAGTTGTTGCAATATTTGATTATCCATTTGGTTGTTACAGAAAAATTCTTAACTGTAATTGATGGTTGTTGCCGTAATAGTATATTGCCTGTATTTCTACCTCTAGTAATGGGCTTTATGTGCTAGATTTTAATATCCTTGAGCCTGGGCAAGTGCACAAGTCTTTTTAAAAGAAACATGGTTTACATGCACAAACTGATCAGTTTTGAGAGATCGTTAATGCCCTTGAAGTGGTTTTTGTGGGTGTGAAACAAATGGTGAGAATTTGAATTGGTCCCTCTTATTATAGTATTGAAATTAAGTCTACTTAATTTATCAAGTCATGTTCATGCCCTGATTTTATATACTTGTATCTATCAATAAACATTGTGATACTTGATGTACTTTTATGTGACTTTCAGTAGCACCTGCAGCTTTATGGGGAATTGTTAGCTTTTGAGGGTTAGAAGATGCATCTCAGTTTGAAGATTTAGGAACTTTTAAACTATTTTTTCATGATAGGACACAAAATGAGTAATTTCTCAGGTCAGTTTATTAGAACTACCAACAGTTTCTGTAATCAAAGACCATAAGTCTCATGAATTTAGAAGAATGTTGCTATCTATGCATAGCAACCAAAACTGGTATCTTCTTATCAGGCTGAAGTAGGTTAATAATCTGTTCTCGGGAAGATTTCACATCCCCTCTTGAAAAATCCATTGTCCAGTAAAATTATCTGGCATCTTTATTCAACTAAATGTTCATCATGGGGGTTAAGATGTATTTTTCGGAAACTCCTTAAGGATTTACCCATGCTCCCAAGCCTTGGAAGATTTTTCACAATCGTGGGCCTAATGTTAAAACTTGGGCAGGGACACTACTGCCACCTGAGAAGAACAACCTGGTCATGGTTTACAGAAACCTTCAAGGCAGGCAGTAGTACATCATGCTAATGGGCACTGTTGAAAGAGGCCTCACCTACTAGAAAGGGGTGATAGGTAAAGCCAATATTTTTGTGTTCCATTGAGATCAGAAAGGCTAACCTTTTGTGGGGATGGTCATCACTAAAATTCTAACAATTTATAGCTTTTGGTAGCTATCACAGCAAAAATGGTAGGTGAACGACCTACTTTAGACTTCAGGAGACTTGAAGGGTATTCAGATAAAATTGTGTTGTTATTAGCCATCTGCTCAGTGCTACATGCCAAGGGTGAAAATTGATGGCAAAGGTAGGACGTGGTTAGGGGGCATGGGTTGGCCACAGGGTTTATTTTATAGCCATAATTAATCCAATTTGGCCAGGGACTAGCATCATATACAGAGAC